AATGGAGGAATACATCCCTCACACAGTGAAAGCTCCTAAACCACGGTCCAACGGCTGGTTCAACAAATCGTGTGACACTGCTCGCCAGCAGAAGATCAAGGCCCACAGAACCTGCTTACAAAACCCCACTGTAGAGAACAGACAAGCCGACGTCGAGTCCAGAAACAAATATAACGAAGCGGTTCGCAATGCCAAAACCCAGCATGATATAAAAGTTAGGCACAGGGTAATGTCGCAGCGCAATGGCAGTCGGTCTTTCTGGACGCTGGCCAAGCAGATTGAAAAGAACTTCTCACACAGTAGCCTTCCACCACTTACGTGTCAGGATGGAACTATTGTATTCGACTCAAAGGCCAAGGCGGAAGTGATAGCCAAGATCTTTGCTGCCAACTCCACCATGGACGTCCCCACCAACGCCCAAGTGCCGTCAATTCAAAGGGTTCCCCACACTATGCGGGAGGTAACATTCAGGCATAAGACCGTAAGACGAGTGCTCTTGTCGCTCGACATCAACAAAGCTTCTGGTCCGGACTTGATTCCTGCCATTGTACTGAAGAGATGTGCAGCTGAGCTTGCTCCAGTTCTTTCGCGTCTCTTCCAGATATCTTATGAATCCGGCACCTTCCCAGAAAACTGGAAATTTGCTCATGTACAGCCCATCCCAAAAAAAGGATCTAAAACCGACCCTTACAACTACAGGCCCATAGCTCTGCTTTCTGTTATAAGTAAAGTGATGGAGAGGTGCATAAATCGCGAGCTTCTGGACTACCTCGAACGTCACAGCTTGATTAGCGACAGGCAGTACGGTTTCCGACACCAACGATCCACAGGGGACCTCCTAGCTTACGTCAGGCAACTGTGCAGTAAACTCATCCAGTCTCATGGTGAGGCTCATGTCGTTGCTCTTGACATCACGAAAGCGTTCGATCAGCTGTGGCACGTTGCCCTCTTGAGCAAACTTCCATCCTACGGCCTCCCAGAAAAGCTTTGCAGATGGGTGGCTGACTTTATCTCTGGCCGCAAGATATCCGTCGTAATTGACGGATTCTCCTCTTCATCCCACAACGTCAACGCGGGTGTTCCCCAGGGATCGGTCTTGGCTCCAACACTGTTTCTCTTACATATCAACGACCTCCTTTCCTGCACGATCAACCCAATCCACAGCTTCGCTGATGACAGCACTCTACATGCAGGAATTCAGAGTGACAAGCCGATCTCTGCCGCTGAGCTGGAAAAAAGAAGACTAGCGACGACTTCTTCTCTGACAAGAGACCTGGAGGCTATCACTGCTTGGGGACGCAACAATCTTGTACAGTTCAATGCTTCCAAAACACAGTACTGTACTTTGACGAACAAAAAGCGTCCTAGCGCTCATACAGTTTCGATGGACGGTCGAGTTCTACCAAAGAGCCATTCATTTCGGTTGGTCGGAGTCCAGATCACCGAGGACCTGATCTGGCACGAACACATCTCTTCAATAGCTGCAGCTGCTGGGAAAAAGCTAGGCTATTTGTTTAGGGCTAAGAAGTACTTTTCTCCGCATGACCTTCTCACTCTATACAAGGCCCAGATAAGGCCTAGCCTCGAGTATTGTTCACACATTTGGGGTGCTGCCGCCCCGACCACATTGTCCATGCTCGATGCTATCCAGAGGAGGGCGGTCCGACTGATCGATGACTCTTCTCTAACAGACAGTCTCGGGACTCTTTCGCACCGGCGAGCCGTCGGCGATCTAGCTCTTTTCTATCGCTACACCAACGGGCTTTGCTCCTCAGAGCTCTCTTCCATGATGCCGCCGCGCGATGTGCCTGGCTTCGGCGTCCCATCCTAACCGTGTCAAACTTCGTACATCCAGAACTGGCCGATACGACCGCTCCTTTATCCCGAGGATGTCTAGATTGTGGAACAAACTACGGGAGGAAGCTTTTCCCAGTTCTACTAACCTTAGGCAGTTCAAAAATCGTATTAACAAAATTTCTTTGGGATCATCATAGCAGCCGCGGTATTCCGGCATTTAGGCTTCTGCCTGCGCGGCTGTTTCGATATAAAAAATTTCACGAATACATTCTTACCTTTACGTTCGTGTAATGTTGATTGGGTACTTTTTATGAGAATATATGTTATTATAAAATACTTTTATTCGTAGTTTAAATAATATAAGCAGATATTTTGATCAGACCGTTAGTTTTAAGGTAAACGACTGATTTATTAAATTATATCCTTGCATGGAGCTTTTTTCCTCACATGGCATTACCAAAGAGTTTAATAAAACTTGAATTAAATATTAAATAAATGACGTCGCAACTGCGCTTACAGTTTCCTCTGTTCATATTGACTTTGGACGCCCCGCAGGTTTATGATTCAGTGTCGAACCGGTAGACTCCAACTTTCTGTCCAACGACCTTATCACACTTTCACTAGGACATTGATTCAGATCATGTCAACTAAACTCACGCCGCGCAATAGTGCACGAATCTCCATTTTTGTAATAAGCCTTAACACAAAACGCACGCTACTCACCGGTAAACCGCTCCATGGCGACTAAATTTCCGAGCACCAAGCTACTGATACCCACTACCCGCATTCCGCTCCCGCGTGCCTGTCACGAGCAATGCAGTTTTTAACAGATTAAGCGCCAAGGACTTTCCACCAAAATATGTCCCTGGACCAATGTGATATTATAACAAATTTTTAAAATCTACGTCTAGTTAACCCCAAATCCTCGATATTGGATTTAAAAAAAATAAAGTGGACACCGGTGTCCGCCATGGCCCTCCGACAATGTTTAGAACGAGCGGACACGATACCTCCCAGAGTGGCCGAGGATCGAGCCGATCTATCTTTACTTAACGATACAGGTTGTTATTGATTAGTTTTTCATCGCTTCGAGTGTGATGTGTTTTACTGAAGTTTTGAGCGCAAAGTGAAACTTTTTGAAATAAAAATGAATGGACGATCAAAGAGGATATTACAATTAGCTCTGGAGAGAAAAAACGACTATGAAAGTAAGTTGCTATTGAAATTTTATTAGGTACCTCAATTGTGAATGCCCATTTCATTTACAAGGAGATCGAACAGAGCGACATTTCCATAAGTAATTTTCGGAATGGAGTTGTTAAACAATTGCTGAAATTCGAAGATGGCTACACCTATGACCGTACATGTCATGTAAAAGGGAATTTGAGGGCGCACGTAATACTTATACTGAATTGTAAGGCACGGGAAAATAGACGGTACTGCAAGGGTTGTTACAAGAAAAAACAAGATGGACTTATTGAAAAAAATAAAGTAATATTTATTTATATTTATTGTGCACAATGCGAATATAACCCTAGATTCTGTCTGGAATGTTTAAATTTAGTTCACAAAACTAGTTAACATTTTTACAAAATAAATGTAGATATGTATTTGCAAAACTTTTTTATTCAATATGCTTTGTTCATTAAATGTTTATTTTATCTCCATAGATAAATAGATAAGTGAAATAAATAAATAAATATTTATTTGATATTACAATAAGAATATCACCAGATTTTTCTGGAGAACATTGCTACGTAAAACCTGGTGTCCGCCTGGCCGGGAGGAGATGACAAAAATTTGAACGCCAAGCGGACACCGGTGTCCGCCGTGGCCTAGGAGGCTGATCACAAATCGGACACCGGTGTCCACCGTGGCGCTTAACCTGTTAAATTCGTACGTCTCTCTGGTCCACCCTGTATTTTCTTCACGTTGGCGATAACCATAAAACTTTATAAAATTCGCAAGTTTTATTGATCAACCGCTGCACTTATTTGTAGGAACTAGAGAAAAAATGGCGTCAACTTTTGCACGCCTTCCCTTATTTGACGACTATGAAACTCCTTGCACCTTGACATACAACCGCAGAGTAGAGCGAGTATCAGCGAACATTAGTATTGTTGCTTAAACATTGAAACTATCGTCTTGAATATGCACCGTGTGTAGTATCTTAGACGATTTTCGTATGTTTTGGCACCTTTGCTATTATGTTATAATAGAACAGATATAACTGAATTGTTGATTTAACATTTTTTTGAGATAATCTGACTATACATGATCCATAATACCTATCTGCACAACTATCGGACCTCGAAAATGCTGCGGCTGGGGCACCGTCGGCGTTTTCGATTTGGAGCGGACCCTCCACAGGTAAAGAATATCACGTACTCCTAGGTGTTTCTGGAGTCACAGACGTAAATATTGTTAATATTAATTTGTGAAATATGTATGATATTTTATGTGACTGGTATCATAAATTTCTGAATAATAAGACATTTTTTCCGATACCAAAGATGTAACTTTTTCAACCTCCTACCACCTCCAACCCCCACTCCCAATTATCAGCCCTACATCGTATTTCTGGAAATGGTGTGGAGCCTCTGAAAAGTCAAAGAACGAAATTGGAGCGATTTTCAATTTTGCATTCTTTGCCCCAAGCTCCGCCGCCACTGGATTGATTTTCAAATACTAAAAAACTTGGCATATTAGCGATCTTGAATATTCTATCAAAGCTACAGCTATATTTTCGTGATGTACATGACATATGACATCCCAAAGGGACAATATATATCATTTTCGAAATCTTTCGTGATTACAATATTCCCTTGTCAATTATTAGCCCACAAAGTAAAATGAGGGGACAAAATTAGCCAAGAAGCCCATATTTCAATTGTTGACAATGACTTTTACTAGATTTTTTGGAATTCACTGTGATGAAATTACACGTTTACCGTGCATATTTCTTAAAATGCGTACACTTTCAGCATCTATTTAAATTTATTTTTTTCTAAACAACCTTCATCCCTTTCTGTCGGGGGCATGGGAAGAACCCCTACAAAGAAATTAGTTATTACAAAAATTCTGCTTGATTTCCTAAAACAAGCGGGTTAGCTGTTCCCGTATTCAAATTACGGGTATATCGAGCGTCAGTTGCCACTAGCAACCGCTGTATAGTATACTAGTTCGACCATCGCGTTTTCACCGGCAGTTAGATAAGCTCTGCGCTTTCCGCTGATACGGCTTGCTTGCGGCAGCGAAAGTTCGACGGCTCTCGTGAGTACGGATGAAGTTTCGTAACCGATCGAGTTCTAGGATTTCTTTTGAAGGCGAAGTTAGTTTGTGCATTTTGTGGCATTCGTCATTTTTGTTTCAATATTTACAGTGCAGGGTGTTTCAAAATAGTGTCTTTGCCGATCACCAAAGCTTTAGATTTAGGTTAAGACAAATTTAAAAGTATGAGCAACTGCCTATCTATCACGTTCACCTTGAATATTCCTTACAATACAACTATTGTTGACCATTAAATACAATTTGCTAATTTACACAGGTACATAAAGTCGAAAGACAAATATGTAGCTCCTCTGACTCATCATACCCATTATTTATTTTTCTTTTTACAGGGATTTGTGACGTATGTTTTCGTCAGCCTATCGATCATATTCGCAGAAAGAAAATAATATCAAAGTAAATATAAGTAATATAAGTAAAGATAAAATAAATACCAAAATTTAATTTCTCACTGAGTTTGCAAATGGGAGATATTAACACTGATTTCAAGTCAACACTCACTTTTGCATTTTTGGTAAAGAATTCAGGATGTTTCAAATTCGATCCTCCACAAAATGCCGCTTGGAAAGTTTAGAAATTCTCCCGGAGAGAGAGAAAAAAACGAAAAATTATTGTAATTTATTTCTGACTTTATTCGTAGGGGGATTTCAAAATAAATTGCACATTACCAGTATCACTTTTTCTCCTCTACAAGATAGCGTCATTAAAATTTTGATATTACGATTCGTCTCTGGTCCTTCAGAATCAACTTCATTTTTTCTTATGGACGCCATATTTCTGTGCAGATGAATAGAGTTTCCAATTCTGATTCTAAGAATATATTACATGTCATACATTGACATTGCTAAGCCTCATTTATTTCTGAAAAACAGAACTTCCTAGATAGGCCTTGAAATTAGCAAATAGTCATTTGTTTCGTATACTATACCCGTCCTCAAATTGAATATAGTAACAGATCTTAGTAGACTGATAAGAAGGGCAATAAATCGAGCAGTGAACAATGTACAGAAAAGAGTTAGGCTTTGAATACAAAATAACGTACAACATCTTGAACATTTGTTATGATTTACCTCTGCTTATTTACCTCTGCTTATTTACCATTATTATTGTCATTCTCATCAATAAAAATTTCATGTTGTTTAGGTTTCACGATACCTACCTTTTTGTTTCCTTATAATTTCTATTCCTACAACAAATTCATGGCCAACTAAGGAAATACATCATTGCATTTGGACCGAAAATTCCATTTAACTGTGAAAGATTCCAGCATAGAGTCCATACGAAAAAACAAAGTTGGTGATTGAAATCGAAAGAATAATCCTCGAATTGAAAATTTGTCTACGCTATCTCCTGACATTGAAATCCCATTTCAAATAATGTCAGGAAGAAATAAAAATGGTTTTGCCATACACCTGGTATGCGAAACAAATGCTCGTCAGATAATTTCAAGGCATACCTAAGAAATTATGTTTTTTTGAAATAACTGAGGTTTAGTATTTTTTAAATCAGGTTTAAGAACTCTATTTATCTCTGCAAAAACTCAATATGGCGTTGATAAAAAAAAATTAGTTGATGCTGTTGGACTAGGGCAAGTCAGGATTTTTTTTTTGAAAATTCGTTTTTTTCGTATCTCTCCTGAAAGACTTTGAATTTCGAAAGTTTTTAAGTGGCATTTTGTAAATACGCAGCTTTGCCCATATTCAAACGCCTTCGTTTCTCTTACAGTTTTCGAGATGCCAAATGGTGTATATATTAGTATATAATAATGGAGTAATTGCAGTCAAATTTTAAAGTGAAACTGATGTTTGAGTGCATGAAATTCTGCTAATGACAATCAACTAATAATAATAATAATTTTTTCATATTTGTTGATCCAGTATCTTTAGTGGGATGCAGTTTGAGAGGATTTTTGAGATTCAGATACATTGTAGCATAGTCAAGGCCATGAAACCTTTGTGGGGGCGGCCGGTGATGAAAAAACAGCTAGAGTTTGGGTTCTCTAATTAATAACAGATCTTTGTAACACTTACGTCAATTCCCTTTCTGAACCTTCACCTTGAATAGCAATATCTATTTGTTAATGCAAATTAAATGCATGACGTAGCTCTTAAATATCTTGATATGGAAACACAGTTGACACCCTAAACACAACCAATAATGTTTCTGTAAAATTTTTAATGTGACTGAAGGACTTGAAGTGAAGTTAAACCAGTGAATAGACATAATGGCTCCAGAGACGCCTTCTAGTTCTGGTAGTGACACTTCAATTAGACCACCAATGAGTGCCGAAGAAAGATTGATGGTTGCTGTTAGGATTCGACCCCTGAAACCTGATGACACTACTAGGTGTTTATATGCTGTTGACAAAAAGGTGAGTGTTCTGTCCTCATGATTTTTCAACGTTACTAATACAAGTGCGATAATTGTTTTAATATTTATCATAGAGAATTGAAAACTGCTTTAGCTGCAGAATTTCAAGTATTACCTGTTGCTGTTGAAAAAGTGGAATAAATTCAGGATTCCTCGAAACCGGTCGATCTCCCTAACTGTAAAACCCTGAACCAGGTAGTTGCAATATCAGAATTTTCAGTCGGAATGGATCATAAATACTCGGCCTTACAGTCTTGGATTTTGAAGTACTGTGAAGAAGTTCATCAAATATATAATTAAAAAACCTTCAATGACAACACCACCAGACAGTTTTGGGTCATTAAGGACATTTGTCTTATCAAATATTAATTTGAATATCGAGATATTGAGATAATTTTGCTCTGAAAGGCAGTTAAAGTGTATTATCATTTTGTTACTAATAATACATTTTTCTCTAGATGATTTTAATGACAATGATTTGATTAATTTTTTTTTCTTCTGGCATGGGTCGCAATAGTGATTTGTTACAAAAAAAGAACTGAGATTGTAATCCTTCTCCAGCACACAAATGGAAAAAGCAGATAGAAAAGGTGTTTATAGATCAGACATTAATGGAATTAAAATAAATGTGAACCGATAACCCGTAAGAAGACTACTATCTGGTAGGAACGCTGGGGATGTTTTCCTTAAAAGCTTTCTGAGATCACTGTGCAGAAGAGGTTGACGGAGAAAGGTTTTTCAGGTCAACGTTCCAGCTCCACATGAGAACTTGTAAACGACAATGAGGATAATTAAAAACCAAAATGGTGGATTTCAATAAAAAAGTTCAACCCTAAAATTTCTATTTCACGAACCAAAGCTTATACGGCTTGATATTGATATATGAGGTGTTGTTGGACTCCTCATAGTAATGCGAGTGACACTGGCTGCACTGAAATTCTATAAAAATCAAATGGCGGATTTTAGTATAAAAATCAACCATGAATTTCTAATTTCACGCGCTACAGCTTAAATGGCTTGATGGACTTTGACGTATGGGGTGTCTCTAGGTTTGTCTTACAGTGCAAGTAACACTAGGAATAGTCAGTGCAGGGCTGGTTAAGAATTTATACAATGTAACAGTTCTTAGATCTATCACAGCTCAAATATTTACATAAAACAATTTCTTTTCTTTCTCTTCTCGCTTCTACTTCCTTCTTTTCTTTCTCCCTCTCCACTTTTCCCTACAACTTGTCTGGTTTCTGTGCCATCAGACCTGACAGACTGACGACAGACACTGACATTACAGTGACTATGACCTAAAGGCTAAGGTCATCCGGACTGGCTTGAGAAGCAACGATGAGTAGTACTAGGAATACTATAGTATGACAAAAACAAAATGACGCATTTTACCGAAAAAGTTCAACCCTGAAATTACTATTTCACGCGCTACAGCTTGAATGGCTTGATGGATTTTGACGTATGAGGTGTATCCAGATTTGTCTTGAAAGTGCAAGTAACACCGGCTATACTGAAATTTTATTAAAAGAAAATGGCGGATTTCAATATAAAAATTCAATCTTGAAATTCTTATTTGACGGGCTTCACCTTAAGCGACTTGATGGATTTTGACATATGAGATGTCTCTAGGTTTGTCTTGATAGAACAATTAAATCTTCATTCTTTTCAGTTACTTCTGTTGGGTTGTTTTTATTTTTTGTAATGTACTTTTTAAACTTACTCTATCCATCTCTATAAAGCTACTTATGAAGCTAGGTTGAACGTTGTTCACCATTCACACTAAACCTTGTTGGTATTATTGCCATATGCAAATCTCATTCTTCTGTTACGAATGTCCATTAATATGTTGATTGATTACTTTTTTTTGATATCTCACGTGATTTTTCTTTTGTTTTCCCAGATTGTGTACAAATAAGCTTTCATAGCTGCGTAGTTTTTGTATAAAAATTTGGTGTAGTCACGAATAACCAAGCTATCACATTATTCATTTCCGAAATATACAACTTTTTAGTAATGTTATGAATGGCGTAATTTTATGTGGAGCACGCAATGCAATATTTTTATAGAAGAAATAGATAGACGTCAAAAAATTTGCATCAAGTAGATTGACTCGATATTTGCCACGCATTTCCAGGCTACACATCCAAAAGGCTTGTTTTCGTATCCTTTAGAGGTCGTTAATCTACAGTTAAGATTCACCATATTTCATGCTTAAGACTGTAACAGTGCAGTTATCTAAGACCGTCGTTCTTGAGTTAAAATAATGTAGAGGTCTTTACGCGTTTGGAGGAATGGCAAGAAATTGGGTCGCTCTTTTTCTGTTCATATCCCACTCATGTTTATGTGATTTGACCGTTATTGTAGTCGTCTACTGTAACTTAGTCAATATGGGGGCGGCCGTTAAAATGTTGGAAGCTAGAATTAGATGGACATTAAGCTTACTAGTGAAAATATTAATTGTCCATGGGATAAATTCGCAAATGTTTAATGGGAATACTTGGATTCTGCTGTATCTCTTATTTTGAGAGTTATCGATTTCACTCGAGTTTCTTTTTCAGCACATTATTGTAGAAGATACCGATAAGTTCGACGTAACAAGGCAGAAAAGAAGCTTAGATAAGCGATACTCTTTTGATGTCGTGTTCGGTGAAGATTCCACTCAGGAGGACGTCTATGAAGTTACCACGAGCCGACTAGTTAAGGACGTCTTGAATGGGTAAGCTCATATAAATTCTGATCGATAAGAATATAGGTGTAATGCACACTGCAGAAATCCGTTCCATAAAACCGATTTTAGGAAACGTCAAACTGCTTGCAACAGATAGATAGATGACTCAGGATTGCTACACTGTTTTTCATAAAATTAAATTTTAGCAGCCGTTTCAGAAAATTTAGTAAAATGGCTTCATGCAACTCCAGTTTCCCGTTTCAAGTGGTAATTTGGAATCTCTATTCACTGCGACAGAATTTCCCTTCCGATCTGGAGGTATTTCAAAGCTGTCGAGAGTTGGGCAAAAAAAATATTTTTTAAAGGGAATTAATTTAACATCAACATATCATTATTAGTTTTGCGTTTATTTTCTGTTTTGTCTTATACGCTAAGATTTGTTTTGCCCCGCGGCTTGGTGAATTGGTCAGCCTATATTTTGGAAATGGCTATTCAGCGGAGGTGCATCCAAAATTAGATCTCTTGTTTCTGTTATTGTTAATGTGTCTTTATTGATTCTTTAATTTCAAGGCTGATAAGGGTGCTTTAGAAAGGTGTACCAAGATTTCTAGGGTAGAAAGGAAAGGGTGGACCATCTGTTGGTTTCTTGCTAAAAATCTTCAAGAATATGTAACGCTCGATACTTAATTCAAAAGAATACACCTTCCGATTATTTATGAAAAACAATTTCAGTTAAATGGCTGCCGCGGCTGGCCTTGCAGTAGTCCATCCTTTTAGCCCAATTTTGAAGCATATTTATCAATGCTCGACGCATATTTTCCTTAAGAACATCAGTTGTTTGAAGATCGGATAGGTAGTAACAGCTAGGTGTCAAATTGCAGCTGCGGGCTGGCCAATGAACGTCTCCAAATCGGCTGATAACGCGACGACCGAAATTAGTGTGTAAAATATTGATTGTTTCACGGCTATGTGGCATATTGCGCCATTCAGCTGGAACCAGAGATTGTGCAAGTGTATGCCGTCAAATAGTGGCCACAAAAAACTCCTCAACATGTCTCTATAGCGTTCCCTGTTTACCGTCACGCTGTTACCATCTTCATCTTGAAAAAAGTAGGGACCAATAATACCGCCACTCCAAAAGCCACACCAAACAGTTACTCTTTTTTATGCATTGGGTTTTCTATGACGACATGGATTTCAGAACCCCAAATCCTACAGTTCTGCTTGTTAACGTAACCTCCCAGATGGAAATGGGCTTCGTCCGAAAAGATGATTTGGTCACTCTGGGCAACAGCAATGTTTTCGGCTGTACGTATGGGTCGAACACGCTCATACCTTATATTATCCACAAGCAGGCCAGTTTCACGAACCTTCTTCACGAATTTTCGTATACCAGTCGCTAACGGAGATTCATTCCGACCAAACAGTCTTCTCAATATTCTCAAAGTTTCCGTAACTCAGCACTCACTTTGAAAACAGTTTTTCAATGTTTCCCACCTTTGTTCAAGATTAAAATGATCTATTGCTCGCAGCGGAAGTTTGACACAATATATCTGTCAATATGTTGAGCATGGATGTGTTACCAACTGTCAAAATAATACCAACTAAAAAAACAACTGATGGCCGACCCTTTATATTTAAAAATAACAAAAAAAAGTTTTTATAAATATGAGTCCAAGGATTCTACAGTTTTTCTTTGCAATTCTTTTGTTAATTTTGATCACAAATTTTTCATTATTACTGATCGCGTCCACTTCGCTTCCGGCTGTTACTATCATTCAGCATTACATCATAAGCTGTAGAATATTTAGCTATCTAAGAAAGATCAGAGTTGACTCTCATGCTAGCTAGACAAATCTCTTTTACTGCATGAGTAGTAGTTCTTAGTATCATGCGCCTATTGATGCACCCCACAAACTCCAAATCTGCAATATACAGAGTAAAAGTAAAGGACCACGAATTGTGCTCTGAGGGACACCTCTATTAATAGCTTTTTGCTGAGAAAACTTATCATTCACAGCCGTAAGTCGAAACTTTTGAGATACGTATTGTTGAAATGAAGAAACAGCGCCAGCACGCCTTATAAATAGACGGAAAATTAAAGTTACCTAAGAGTACCTTGTTCTTTGATGGTTCTTAAAAGAACACTGTTTCGAAGATGATAACATCATTTGACTATTAAAAAACTTGGTAATCTAAAAACCTTTAGGTTCTTTCCATTAATGAATTCCTGACAATCCTTAATGGCGAACCATATCAGTCCCTAATTCAGGGTCCGGCAATGAAACGGGAAGATTTGGGGTGGGGCTTGCAGCGGGCGGTGAAGTGGTAGGGAGGACAGTCACAGACCTGTCGGGACCCGAGTGGCTTGCCATTTAGTCTACAATGGAGCGTTGGACGGGTGAGCATCGCGGTTACGCAATTAGGGCTTATTACCAAAATGGCGAGAGCTTAGTGCAAACGCGTCGAGATTTTAGACGGCATTTTAACATACCGCGTAACTAACCGGTTCCGTCAGACCATGCGATTCGAATGTGGCTAAACAACCTCGAGCAAACTGGATCGACGTCTAGAGAAAGAGGTGGTAGTGCCAGAACGATTCGAACCCCTGAAAATATTGAACGTGTTCGACAAGCCATTTTAAGAAGTCCACGTCGATCGGCCATCCGTCACGCCACACGCCTTCGATTAAGTGACAGATCGGTGAGAAGGATTCTCCATCAAGATCTTCGATATCACCCGTATAAAATACAGGTTGTTCAATCTCTTCACCCGGATGATTATCAACAGCGTCTCAGATTTTGTGAGGTTATGCTTGCAAGGCTGGAAGAAATTGATGACCAGGTTAACAACTTGTGGTTGAGCGATGAGGCACATTTTCACCTCTCCGGTTTTGTTAACAGACAAAATTTTAGATACTGGGCGGAGGCTAACCCTCGTATGCTTCATGAATCACCTCTTCATGCTCAGAAAGTGACAGTATGGTGTGCAACGTCTGCACATGGAATCGTCGGTCCGTATTTTTTTTGAGGATGAGGCTGAAAATGCCGTTACCGTTAATTCTGAGAGATACGTTTCAATGATTCGGAACTTCCTCACACCTGAACTCTACCGCTTTCCAGTTAATGAACACACACTTTTTCAACAAGACGGTGCAACAAGCCACACTGCAAGAATTTCGATGAATGCGGTGAATGCTTTGTTCCCAGGGCGTGTCGTTTCTCGAAACGGGGATATTGCTTGGCCCCCTCGGTCTCCCGACCTTACTGTCTGCGACTCCTTTTTATGGGGTTATCTGAAAATGAAAGTGTTTGAAACTGATCCACCCAGGACAATCCCGGCCCTCAAACAACGAATTCGTGACGAGATTGCAGCAATACCTGTTGATATGCTGCGAAGAGTTATGCAGAACTTCCAGGCTCGACTCCATGAATGCATACGTGTCAACGGAGGCCATTTGACAGATGTAATTTTCAAAAAATAATGTTTTTTAACATTGTATATCAAATGGCTACTCTTTTATTTCCCAGTATGGTATTACTAATTACAAAAAAAATATTTTTTCGACAATAAAATTATTTACGAAATCTTCCCGTTTCATTGCCGAACCCTGTAGAAACCTTTTATTGGAACTAAACCAGGATCATTTCTGTAGCTTTTTCAGTAATAAAAAATAAGAGTGTCGTCAAGAGAGCGTTCACCTTTCATGTACTGTATTTTACTTGACCGGAATTTCCTTCTGGGAATGCAATAAGTGGGTTACGGAACAAATCCTTAAGGTTGCACGCAATAAAAATGTCAATTGCAATAATTTCATGGAATTCTTATTTGCTTTGTAAATATTTGATCAAAACTACCGAGGCTGCTCAACTTGCGGCTGTAATGTAAACAAAACCGCGCTCTGTAATTTCACATCGATTTTCGAAGTTGTTTATTGAAAAAAGTTGTTTATTATTCAGAACATCATTAGGCTGTCAGACCAGAGTAAAAAAAAGTCATTATGTGTACGTAATAATGGAAAAACTTCTAAATAATTGTTGGATAGGAGAACCAAATAGACGGTAGTGTCGAACTTTCAACCTTTCCTTTCAAATGCATTGCTTTACACTTCTAAAAATAATTAGACCCTCTTGTTTTTTCATGATTAACATTCATCGACCGTGACAACTGTGTAATACGAGTATCTTGCGTTCTATAAAATATAGTTCATTTCACGGTTTTTTGTGGGTCACACTTAAGCTCCTGGCATTACTTTTATACATTCATTTCGCTTACACACACATTATGCAATCTGCCTCTGTATGTGAAAGTTTGTTTATGTAAGCTCAGACATACGTTCTTTAGCTTCGTCAAGCCATCTCGAAAATTTCCTCGCCAACGTATGAGAATACCTAATCTATGCTTGCGAGTGTGACAACTCACTTGACATGGGAGTATCATTTTAAGTTTAATGATCTTCGTAAAATGAGACATATCACTTCTTGAAAATACAACTAGAACTCTTGGGGTATTTAAGAGCGTGACTTTATTAATCAATTCATTTGTGCAGCTGAGTCTAACATCGATTTGACCAGTGAACAATGTCCCTATGGAGCTTCAGCTCCGCACATAGTTCAATTAGTCGATTTTCATATTTATTTCGTATGGCATTGATGACGTAACCGCCAAATATCTATCGGTCATTTTTAGAAGAACGTGATCTTAAAATTTAATTAAATAATACTATATACGCTTGAGAAAATACGTTCTTATTGAAAATGAAGCACCAGATGTGGGAATTTGATTTTTCAAAGATTGCGCCATCTAGATAACTCTCATTTCACATAACACGCTAATCGCTGAAGTATAGCAGTATTTCACTATTACCGCAATGGATAGTTTCTTTCAAATAAGCGATATTCCTGTAAACGTTGCTCTGGGGGTAGGATTAATGGGTGTTAAGACTGGTGGCCCCGGATAACATGCAATATCACCGAAGCGAATAATCGGGCGATTTTCTTTGAAAATGTGAGAGGCGGATCGACCGATCCGTTTCAGCAAATTATCTTAGCTTAAACCACATTCAGCGTTCCGATCATTGACGTTGTTTATGCAATTTGAACTATTTGCTAGACTGCAAGAGCCACCATGGATCAATTTCCAGGAGTGTTTTCTCACAAGTTGATGTTGATATTTTGGTGCATTGCGTGGCTACAGCGATTGAAATGTCAATTAACACTCCAAAGAATATCACTGATTTGAGAAAATATACGTGGCGAAATAAGTAAAATTGAACTCCGTATGTATCGGTGAGTACTACAAAAAGCGATGAACAGATTCGATGAATGTGTGCCAAAAATAAAGTCCAACGTATTTTTAATTTAATTCGAAAGCGTTGAAAGTTGTCTGTAGTTATAATAATTAGTGTGAGCTAGTTTATTAGCTATGTTAGCTAACTGTTCACTCACACGGATTGGGAGAAACAAATCTGGAACACCATCATGGTCGTGCTTATCAGAAAAAATATCACAACTCGGTATGAGTAAACTTAGTAATAATAGTGTCAGAGTATCAGTAGCAAACAAATTCTGATGTGCGTGACCACTATTATAACGAAAAATAAAGTCTATCTGATTCCTTCTTTTTTTGTTAAAGGTACAATGCCACCGTATTCGCATATGGTCCAACAGGTGCCGGCAAGACCCACACCATGGTAGGTGATGCCAACCAACCGGGAATTATGGTCAGAGCTTTAAATGACCTTTTTGAGGTTGTGAAAGATAAAGAAGATGAGTATCAAGTAAGTGAACTCGCATATCTTACTGTCACACTATCAAACTGCAGATCGGGAGAGGCAGACAAATCCATCAAACTTGCTTGTAGTGATTACAAACACAGTTTATCTCACTGACATTAACAGAAGTTTATTTGAATTTTCGGAATTCTCTCTTTTGTCTTCATTTTCATTGAATTCTCCTTATCGCCCAGGCGTGCGTATGTAAATCACTTGATAATGTAATATCGTAAACAGTAATGGAATGTCGATGTTTTTAGAACGCCCAAATTATTACTAGTCATGCCACTTGATGATAGCCGACTTGTTTTTGACACGTGTTCTGCGACCATATCTTTATAATGAGGTACGCTATGAATACGAGGTAGCTAATTTGTCGTTAAAAATATATAATCTGTCAAATTTGAGCACTTTTGAATAACCAAATAAAGTAAACAAACAATGAATCATGAGAATGACCAATGACAACTATCTTATTCCCAAGATCTTGAACCCGGGAGAAAAGTGCGCTTTTGACGTTCCAGAAGGTTTACTTAGTTTTATTTCCGACCGTATGGAACAGGTTCGGCAAACAATTACGAAGCCTAAAATTGTTACAGAATAGTAACCATTTACCAACGCAGCCTTGCACATGTACCTCTAAGTCATTAATATATATATATATATATATATATATATATAATTGGTGCTTCTTCTCAGATACAGCATTTGAAATAACAGAGCTAATGTGCGGTAAAACAGGCGAAAACGTAAATAAATGAATATTCAGTTGCCATCGTTACAATTTTTAAATGATATGAGGCAGACCCCTGCAAAATGTAGGACCGCCTGGTGTAGGCCGCACCCAAAGGCCTCCAGCCTCTCCAAAGCGACTAGGTTTTTTGTTTTTTTGTATGTATCAAATCGCTCCCGAAAACGCGAAGAAACATCGAGGACGAGAAAACTCACCCAGAACTTTTGTCGCAACATACCTAATGAATGTTGTGCAACGCCGTCATCAGTTCATAATGGATTATGTTCAGCACAAGTTAGACCCTCTGAGAAAGAATACCCAACAGAAATTAAATGGATCAAGTTAGCCAAACAGGTCCTACGATTAGCTCGTACACATTATTTTGCTGCCCTACCGGTATTCCACCTGGCAAAGTCGCCTCTCCCCGATACCTAGCACAGTCAGACACGCCAGCGCGGCAGTAGTATCAGAACACTTATCAAGACCGCGGAAGCAGAAGCAGACGCATATCGAAAACATTTTTCCGACACTCCAAGATTCAAGGGTAAATGTACGTGGAACTATGATGTGTGAAATATGACTAATATGTGCGTAGGTTGGGAGCGTTCTAACATTGAGATATATTCTGTCCTACCCCCTAATTTTCTACCTCTAGGAATATCTTTAGGATCCTCTGAAACGTCTAGAATTGAAGTTTTCGAAATTTTTACTATATCCGTTTTTGGCATTTTTAAGCGGCACTACTGGACCGATTTTCAAAAACTACAAAGCTTTTACTTTTACAGACTGGCCAAGGATATCAAATAAAATCCAGAAAACATAATATCTCCTTTTCAAAATATTTCGCAATTACAATCCTTTTCGCCAGTAGGCGTGGGAAGTAAAAAAAACCGGGCTGTCCAGGGCTTCTACTGTGTCCACCTCGAGGTTTCAACATACGCGGCGCGGAATGGAAGCATCCAGGAAGAGGATTTATTCATGAAGCACGTCGTATCTTTTCGCCTAATCCTTTGCTGGAAACAGGAACGAAAATAGCTCGGTTATTTTCATTTTAAGGAGAACGAAACGCTGTGTAAAGGGAATACCAGATTGCTACTGTCGGGCGACGGGTGCACGAACTGTCGTGCTCTAGTGCTGACAGTAAAATTGGCGTGAAGTGTTTCAAAGGTCCGGCGAATTATTTTTTAAAATTATAATGCAATCCTTCATACGTATCAATTTGATTGTTTGATCCCCTTGACGTGAGTTTTCCCAACTATACCTTTGTAGGTATATAACATTAAAGTGGTAATTTTAGGAGGTCTGATAATTTCAAGCTTGGCTTGGCTTCTTTGATAACTCAGATTAACTGAAATGAAAACGATAGCATCCAGACAGAGTTCTTCAGAGTTTAGCAAGATCTAAAGAAGTGACCCTGATCGGTCCCGAGCCAAGGCTGGGCATAAGCGGGGGCCAAGTTAACACCGCTCCGAATGAATCGGTATATAGGGACCTGCGAACTGCGTTGCGAGAAAGAAATGACTCCAGACAGGCCAAAAGATTCTTAGCGAGCCTCAACAAGCTTCGAACATGAGTAGAAAGTCGCTCAACCTTTTGGTGGGGGTTCTTACTGGCCACTGCAGAATGAACATACATTAGCGCTTTTGGGGTCCAGCCTATCCCATGTGCTGGCTTGAGGACGAGATAGCGTTCCACTTTCTGGGCTATTGCCTCTTACATTGCAGTCTGAGGGCCGAAATATTCTGGAGTTTAATAGTGAAGTTGCTTACTCAGTGGAATGATCGCACATCTTGACCTCTATTAAGAGCTGTGGTGTAGAATATGGGTATACTCGCGGTCGGCAAAAAGGGCAAAAAAGCCTGGCTTTGCCTCACCACCACCACCACCACTACTACTACTACTACTATTTGACTGAAATGGGCTTTGTTCGGGTTCGGGCTTTTTGCCTAGGACTCGTCTACCCTCCTCACCACTCTTGTTATTCGTTGATTTCACAACGTGCGTTAGATACACGGCTCGTTCGATCCATACTTCAAAACACGTGATCGTTGTATAGTTTATGAATCAACTGTTGTTGCTCAAATATCAATGTTACGATCTTTTATAAATAGATGAAATCTAGTTAATTATTTGTGTTACATCAATGATTCTATTCGCGACCTTATTGTGAAAAACCTTTGCTGGAATGCATTAGCTATTGATTTAAGGTGCGAGAAAAAAGTATATTATTATCACAAATCGATCGTCCCCACTCTATTTGAAATAATTTACGATGTGCTACGAAACGTAATAATAAGCTGGGAAGCATCACAGTTCATCCATGTGAATATTTGTATCGGTCAATAAATTAATGAAAATGCTAATGTAAAATAAACTACTTTACCATACTTTCGGCCAATATTGTGTCAAGCTAGTCTTAAACTACCAGGTTTTGAAAAAGGTTATCGGAGCAGTTGAAAGCAAGTATTACTATATAAAAAAATGGCATCAAACCAAAATCGAGAACCAAAGCAGACGCTGCCGGTAAGGTACACCATCGGTCTACAGAGAATATGTCTCTAATTCTTAAGGAGAAATATATGATGTGTGAAATATGTCTAATAGGTGCGTACCAAGGTTGTAGTGTATAAATATAGAACATCAATAAATTAGGTGACAGACAGACAGACGGAAATGAGTGATATAGTTTTTTGAGATGTACATATAATGACATCGAAAAAACAATATCTCCTTCTCGGATATTTTCACAATTACTACTGGCGGGGAAGATGTTACCACTGAATAGTACACAAAACTCATGATGTACAGGCCTCCCTATCAAAATAAGGATTGTACAAATCCAGGATGAGCTATCATACATTTTCAAAATAAATAACTTATCAGCGCGTGGATAGCAAAGTGTCAACGGGATGTTTTGCAACGCCGGATTTAGAAAATACTTTGGGAATCCATATGATGAATTTGAAATTACCCGCCCAGAAAAGTTCCTGGTGAGGGATGAATATTGAAGACCGGGGGCAGGTCGTCCGCAATTTGGGAAACACGTTCAAACATTTTTTAAACTCTGATATTATTAGGGGGGGGGGTGGATCCCCAAAACAATACGCCTGGATCTGCCTCTGATGATTAACCACACGTTTCGCATTAAGCGTGCAAAATGCCAGGGTCATCAATATTGATATTCTGCTATATATATGTAGAAATTTTGTTAAATACACTACATCTGAGTGTCTGAGTGTTGCTCCGAGTATACAGGGTGTTCATTTGAAAACTTCCCACCACGGAAACTGATCAAAAGAAAAAACGCCGAGATTTGTCAAGGGGGCAACTTTTCAACCAAAAAGAACTTCACCCCCTTACACCCTTTGCCCCCAGAGTCATCCCCTCAAAAATTTTAATTGAAACGGGGTATCGAGTGATAGTTTGTTTGAAAGTTCCGAATTCCTTTATTTTGACGTTTGATCTTTTTAAATCAGTCGATTCGTTTTCGAGAAAATTATAAAAATCTTTATCTTAATTTGTTCATATAGAAAATAAAAACACACGAAAATATCACTTTTAATTTCAATAAATGTTCAGAATGTTGCCCGTTATTGGACAAACAATGATTTAGGCGATGTTCAAATTCCTGCCGGACATTTTCAAAAACATGCTGTGGGATATGATGGCAGCTTTCGATGATGCGTTGACGAAGTTCATCCAAACTTTCAGAGTTTCCATCCTCTTCGATTAGGTTTCCAATGGTTTCAGTGATAATTGGATTGGTATTGTCCAACATATCCAAATAAACGTCTCCATTCAAATTTCCATTAATAAACAATGGCCCAATCACTTTGATTCCTAAAATACCTGCCCATATATTAATTGTTTCAGGGTACTGGATTTGCCCTTCTACATAAGCATCAGGATTTTCATTCAGTACCTGCAGTTATGATTGTTAGCGAATCCGTTCAGATAAAAGATGCATTCATCACTGAAGCATCAATGGTATTATCATTAATCATCTTCAGTTAAATCTTGCAATATTTTCAGTTTGAATGGATGAAATTTATGGAGTTTAGTAACTGTGTGTACAGAGCCTAATGAAATACCAGTCGCAGCAACAATTTTGCGTAATGAAGTAATAGGATTTATTCCAGAATGACCCAAAATTTCAACTTGAGCAGCTTCATACAAATCTCTCCGATGATCACGATTTTATTTGCAGCAGATCCAGTTTGAGTAAATTTAGTAACAAGGTCCAAAACATACCTATGTGAAGTTATCTACCCCG